AACACGTGTAGACACGTGAGTGTATGTGACAGGTGAGTGTGTGTGTATACAGTATGTGTCAATATACGAGCAGGTATGGATATATGTGAATTATGAGCATCGTGTGAATGTGTGAATGTGCGTGAGTCAGCGTGAACACGTGTATGATGATCGGTAAGTGTAGCAGCAGACGACACACCCACCCACCAGGAGACAGAAACACTGAATGGCCTCACTGAGCTGCGACATAAACAACACACTTGGGTATAAGAAAGCCACAAGGAGCCCAAGGTAAACCAGGTGGCGTGGGGGAGGTACGGTGATGGCGTGGTCAGTAGCGAGCTGAGGAACACTGTCAAGGGGGAGGGAGACATCCAATTGTAAAAACAGTTCATGTCTTATGGGCACTGAGGGAGGGGAGCCATGTGCCCAGGCCCCCCCTCCTTCCACCTCATCACACCCCTGCTGGGTCCGCTACTGGGCGTGGGTGCAGTGCGAGGAGAGAGCAGGAGGCGTGTGGGCTCATCAGGAGGCAAGGATCAGTGATAGGTGTGTAGGCCAGGCAGTACCAGCCAGGCTCATGGCAGGAACCATCCGTGCATGACCACCAGTCCTCCGGCCACCACACGCTGACGAGGCGGCCCGACTCTCAGCCACCCAGGGTTTTCTGCAGACTGAGGGAGGGAGGGAAACCAATAACATATTTTGTGGGAATTTTCATTAAAGATGATTCCAGGGAGTTACTATCACACTTAACAGAGAGGGGAGGAGAGGGGGTGTCTTAAAGAAGGACTTTTCAGCAAGAAGGGAGGGAACACTTTCAGGGCAGGACCACGTAGGGTAAAACTTGAGGGAAGAATAATAATGAAGAGATCTTATGACCTAACAGTTGACCAGCTATTACAGGAAACAATAACTCCTAGAAGTTAGCTGAAGATGACATTTTAATGTATGTTTATGGGGATGAAAATCATCCGGTGTGTGTGTTGGAAGTGTGAAAAAGGAAAATCAAAAGTGCAGAGTTGCAACTAGTGCATCGGCAACCGTCTCTTGTACCTCATGAGCAGCCCCCGACACGCCCTCACCTCCCTCCCTCACACACCCACAACTTCAGGTGCATTGTCACATTTAAATCTGCCGCCTCTTCCTAACGGCTCCTTGATTCAAACTGCAGTGGCGGCGGCAATGCAAGTCACAGTGCAGGTCGGCGGTGGCGGCCTTGGGGGGTGTTCGCCTTGTATGGACAGGTGGCCACAGACGTGCCTTGTGTGTTGATGCGTCGCACACACCCGCAAGCAAACACACACTCCCTCAACCCAAACACCTCCCGCAATTAACAATAGATCCTGGTCATCATATTAAATTACTACTATTGTAATTTCATAGTTATTTACCTACCTGTACTCTTTTTTAAACCCAATGCACCTCGTGCCTCGCCACAACAAGTGGAGGTGTTGTGGCGTCCGGCCATCAATTATGGCAACCACCGTACCAATTACGACCTCCTCACACCGGTGACCCCGACACTCACTGACCAGGACGTAGCCAACACCAGGAACAAGAGCAGCAGCAGCAACAACAATAATTCCATACATCAAATGGTTCATTGTGGAGTCTTACCAAAGCATCAAAATGACGACTGTCTATTTGCTGCAAAATATTCTTTACTACTTTGCTTCTATTGTCCGACAAATGAAGTTAATGAGTCAAAACTTTTGACTTCTTTCAAGACACACTTATCACCTCTACCAGACCCAAGCACGAGCAGTAAAGAGTGGATGACAAGGTACTGGTGAGGGTGGGACGGATATCGGTGGGAGGACGAGGAGTGTCAGGATGGATGACTGAGAGTGGGTGGGTGAGTGAGGAGCGGGCGGGGAGCGGTGGGTGGGGGGTGCAGGGCGGGACACAAGGAGTGCCCCCACAAGATAAGCTAAAATTCAAACGCGAGTTGTGTGTACCCCGTGGCAGTACAGCCAAGCGCCCGCCACCAGCACCACCACCACCCTCGGCGACGCCCGCATCCAAACGACAAGGAACATACAAGACTGTAACAAGAAACCGCCCACAAACTTCCAATTTTCATACTAAATAAACACAAGTGAGGCTAGCGAAATCTTTAGGAGATAAGCCACTTGATTCAAATGAAGATAATTGCCATCAGGCAGATGGAGGAGTACAGAAAATTACTCTCAACAGTAGCCGAGGGCATGGGATAAATAACTGAGTAAATGGGGAGCTTAGCGCTAAGCACCTGACAGACATACAGACAGGTGGATAAGAGGCAGCATGTGGCGAGCTGGGCTGGAGGCCACGCCACTTCCTCTGATGGCTCAGCTCGGACGCTTCAACCCTCCCTCGTGTTCACCTGCACGGCCAAGACTGCATCACCACATCTCCAAGGCTTCTATCCTCACTCTCCCAAGATATGTATTCCCACTTCTCTGGAGGCGTTCCCACTTTCCTTGGGTTGTGTTCCACATTCCTTGGGGATACATTCCCAATTCTTCAGGGGTTACATTCCCAATATTCCTTCAGGGTTACATTCCCAATTCGTAAGCTATATTCCCAGTTTCCAAGGGGCTGCATTCGCAATTCCCCAAGATTGTAGTCAAGTTAGTCACCAGACACCACGTACAAACACGACTCAAGTAGCAGGAACACATGCTACTCCAAGGAACAAGGACACATATCACAGATGGGTTAGAATGTGGACCTACAATTTTAAAGGTACCACGATGTCCAACTTTTGTATCGAGGGGTGAGAGTCGGGCAGAGTGCAACAAAAACAAACCGTGAATCCTCTACCGTGTTTGTTTATACATGGGAAGGCTAAATCCTCTACGTTTAAAGAGCGAAGCATCAACACGAACCATGACTTGCCAAAACAAATCTTTCCACAATGAAGTTCACACAATAAATAATATGAATAAGTGTAACAACGTTTATTTACAGACAAAAATTGAATTACGAAAAATTGGCTGATAAAACTCAATCAAACAAATATAACCAATACAAATGAATTGTCCAAAAAATCAATATAAATTAATTATCTAAAATTGACCAATAAACCGTGGTAACTGAAAACAACCAATATAACCGAATTACCCCAAAAATTGTCTCCCTAAAAAAATGACTCAACCCAAACTTGCCTCATAAAACTGAATCAACCCAAAATATAAGATACCCCCTCCCCCCCCCCTCTTCGTCTTGCTGGTGGATATCTTAAAACACCAAAGTCCATCAGATGTCACTAAGTCCCTTCACCACTGATACTTCCCACCATAAACAAATGACTAGATTAAGGTTTTGATACACACATATAATGTATATATATATATATATAGGGTGTCCCAGAGAAATGTCCCACCCTGCCCCCCTCCCTCCTTGCCTGCTCTTTCCCTCCAACTTACAGTGTCTCAGGGAGGGAGGGAGGGAAGGAGGCGGAGAGCAGGCATAGAGGGAAGGAGCAGGCATGGAGGGAAGGAGCAGGCAGGGAGGGAAGGAGCAGGCAGGGACATTTTTCTAGGACACCCAAAATATAACACTAAATAAATACAACAGGTCTAAAGGCATAGACCAGACGTTCAATGGAAATCTCAACTTTCATAGCTAATACAAATGGCTTCAAGATGCCTCAGTTTAACTCTGTATATAGTTGTAATTTTGTTCCCCAGCTGACATAACAAAGTATTAGTGAAGATGGGATAAAAGTCAGATAAGGAAACCACAAAAGTTTACAAAATACAGCCAAAAATCCCGTTTTAATATCCAAACTACTTAAACTTTTGCATCAAGAATAATCAAATCACATCTTCAAAGAGAAAAGTCTGAACCTAATAGTGTACAGTGGTGCCAAGTGTTCGATACAGCTATTGTTGATGGGTCTAGTACAGTGGTGCCAAGTGTTCGATATAGCTATTGCTGATGGGTCTAGTACAGTGGTGCCAAGTGTTCGATATAGCTATTGTTGATGGGTCTAGTACAGTGCTACCAAGTGTTCGATACAGCTATTGTTGATGGGTCTAGTACAGTGGTGCCAAGTGTTCGATATAGCTATTGCTGATGGGTCTAGTACAGTGCTACCAAGTGTTCGATACAGCTATTGTTGATGGGTCTAGTACAGTGCCAAGTGTTCGATATAGCTATTGCTGATGGGTCTAGTACAGTCTAGATACAGCTATTGTTGATCGGTGGTGCCAAGTGTTCGATATAGCTATTGTTGATGGGTCTAGTACAGATGGGTCTAGTACACCAAGTGTTCGATTGTTGATGGGTCAGCTATTGTTGATGGGTCTAGTACAGTGGTGCCAAGTGTTCGATATAGCTATTGCTGATGGGTCTAGTAGCTAGTGCTACACCAAGTGTTCGATACAGCTATTGTTGATGGGTCTAGTACAGTGCTACCAAGTGTTCGATATAGCTATTGCTGATGGGTCTAGTACAGTGCTACCAAGTGTTCGATACAGCTATTGTTGATCGGTATGTAAACAGGACTAAGAGTGAATAGACGAGAGAAAATATAGAGAGTTAACTCTGCCTGTTAATTCTAGTCATCATGTATTATACAGTACTGAGAGCTGTAAAATACTGTAGTACCAAGTTTTCAAGAAGAAATATAATAGTCTTCTAAATACACTACTGTAATAATAATAACTGAATCCACACGTGTTTGTTACTCAATTATTGCAGTTTCAGTCATAGGTTACTGTACTGACATGAATCAAATCTCTCCCCTCTAAAGTAAAAGATGAAACTTGTATCTGAAGACAACCGGATACAAAGACATTTCCTAATTCACACAAGCGGGACACCTATACGTAAATTCATACAACACATTTATCTCTTACTTCATATTTGTAACCAATTTATACCTCATATATACAACATACACCTAGAGCTAATTTCATACATGTGACATACCTAAACCTTATTTCATACATGTACCATACACCTACATGTGGCATACACCAGTCTTACGTGGATACATTTACTATATGGTATATAATTATACTAACAAAAAATGCATCATATTTATGTACACACAAACGCAAAGACACATACTGTATTCAGCTCCCGTTTCCATGCACACACTTCACCTGGGAATGGCTCACTACTATAATAAAGTACATTTTGACTCAAGACACAGGTATTTCTTCCTTAAGCAATATTATATGAAGTTTTCCATTAAAATGCAATGCACTGACTTAGGTAAATATTAACACACATGAAGAGAGAAAAAAAACAAGAAAATTAAGCAGACGCCAACAGAAGAAATACAGTCATATATTCGTCACAAGAGTATAAAGCTCCTTATAAATCGTCATGTACAGTACAGTAAAAAGATAAATAGTTTCTCAGGTCACAGTCAAATGTCATGCAGTCACCAAGTGTCAATGGATATACAGAACATAAAAAAGTGGGATGCATATATAGATATATTATATATAATCTATTATCATGGACGAGGAGATAGCCAACTGTCAGATCTTGAGGCGAGGTGGCCCATGAATATCCCTCGGGGACTGACGTAGGGGTAGTGAAGCACAGAAATATATGGACATTCCGTGTGACAGCTGTGACGTGTAGACATCAACACAATGTGTGGACACCAGTACAGTTAAAGGCATCCACATGCAAAAGGCTTAGCCTGAGGGCTTTGTACCACGAGTTCCATGATGGATCATTAGGGTGTAGGAGGAATCCATTAAAAAACAAGAGGGCCACCTACTACCCATGAGGACCACAGTGACCTACCTCGCCCGCCTTCATGATCATCATTATCACTAACTGCATAAAGGGTGCCTTGTGACTCACGTCTAGCGGGTCGTCAAGGCATGGGGGAATCTGTTCCACCACCATTATACCAAACTTTCATCTCGATAGAGTTAGGGTGAGACAGTGGCATCATATTTTCATGGCTCTGTGACACACACCTAATCTTCTTATATGTAAATGACATAAAATAATTCAGAGAGTTTATCAGTTAGAACAATACTCTTTGAAATATGATATCCTCAACTCAGTCGAGACACTGGTTAACCTTTACTTGTTTACTCCCAGGGATGGTTGGGTAACATCAGTCTCTCGCAGGCTCTAGATAGTATCCACAAACACATTATCTGGAAACATAACTTACAACAGTGCTCACACGTGGGCCTTGTGAGTGCATTGTCACAAGTTCACAGAATATGATCACCATAATGGGTCTAACATAACCAGTGGGACCCACACCAAGTGAAGAATGGTAATCACGCTGTCATTTCGCAGACTGAACGACTCGCGTTTCTTCCAAATGTCATGTTTCCTCCTGACTACTGAGGAATGCCAACATTACACCTTGGGTGCTTGTTCTCCACATCTTCTGAATGTTTTGTCCATCCTGCATCATCCCAAGTGCTTCACCTGCAACACAATCTGAATGCTCACTCTTGCTGCTGTATCTTCATAATACACACTCAGTCATCAGAGAGCTTCCTCCTCTCTACAGTACAAGGCTGTCCACCTTTTCTAAACACAATACAAACTTTCTTAGCTACTTATGGACTGACTTTATCAGCATCCATATTTAATTTTTTGATATCTCCCATTTTCTATTTGTTTATCATAAAAATGACAGTCCAGTAGGTTGACAAAAAACACATATTTCACAGTGGAATAAGGACACTAGTACACAGCACGTTTTCTGTAAAGTAAAGCTGCTGGTCTTACATGCAGTCACAGTAGTTAGTTTCCCCATGGCGTGATTCACATGATTTCACTTCAGCATTGTTGAAGTTGGGGTTGATGAAATTTCCAGTACATTAACAAATTTAAGACTAACATAAATGGTCCCAGAACTGCTGTTAAATCATTAAGAATAAATGTAGATTGAACTCGCTTCTACACCCACAACCGAATTAAGTTAATAACAAATTTCTATTCTAGCCAATATACACATTTAATCTATGTATAGTTTTGCATGTACTTGAATCTTCCATTCAAGTACACTCTCAACTGCCAACCACCAATACTGGAAGACTATCTTTTGTTAATACTTTTGGCGTCTCAAAAAACACCAAGAAAAATCACTTCAGAATGCTGGGATGAGTTTATGCAGTAGCCAGAATTAAATCCTAAAAAAAAAAGGTAAAAAACTTATCAATCACTGATCACATCAGTGTTGGGGACGACGGACCAAGAGGGAAGGAAGGATGGCTGCCAGGGCTATGCAGGCCATCTGCACTTCACATACCAGTTTCTTTCTTCGCACTGAAATTATGCAAAACATTTCCAAGGGTATGCACAAAATACACTTAGCGAGTGATTCTTTCAAGTCGTAGGCTTGCTCCCAGCAACAAGGGGTTCCTAGAGGGCCACATCATTTGATGGACGACTGAGAATTCTGGTTCTCATCAGTGCCCTTGAAGAACCCCTGGCGTGTCTTACACTCCCGGATGGTGACGGTGATCAGGTTTGCGGTGACATCGGTGATGAAGATCTCATCTGCCAGAGGGTTCCTCTTGTACCAGTAGCTTGGGTCTGGTGCCACCAACACCTGCGGCACACACATAAAACATTTATTAATACCCAGAATTAAAAAAAATGCCTGCCTGCAGCCATAGATTATGCGACCTTAACAGTTAAAATATCATGTAAGAGCACAGAAAAAACACATCTATACTCTAAGAACATTTACATCTTTACTGCATGCAATGATAATAAAATAGCAAGTACAGTACCATCACTTAACGATAATATTTATAATTTGTGTAAAAGTTATATAAAAACTGAATACAAGCTACGATAAATGCGGTCGGAAACAACGATAGCATCATAAGTTATGTTTTTTTTTTATATAAAGTCAGTGAACTATTTCGCAAAATAGTCTTGAAGTGTTTAAAAGACTGGCAGTAAGACGAACATCAGTAACCTCTAGCAAACATCTGTCTTGTGCTGAACATTCGGTAGAAAAGTTGTGAGCATCAACTTTCCCATATTCAAGCTTAATCCCCATTTAAAACACAGTACATGAAGTAATAATCCCAGCACTTAGTTTTCCACTTTGGATGGTAAATGAAGAACGACAACTACTGACACACTCGTAATATAACACTAATGAGGTGAGGCGCCAACCATGATGCCGACGTCACGGTTCATAAATTCTCCCCCATTTCAAGAACGCATCTTAACACCGTCAGCAAATACACAAACACATGAAGAGATAAAGTGTTGACCTAACCCAACCTCGTGTGGCCTCCCAATTCATAAGGGGTCAATGCAATAATTCATACGTATGTGTGACTGACAATACCAGTTCTACACAATACCATTGTTACAGTGTCAGTACATTGTATCAGTGAGAGAGAGAGAACAACACCTACACTACTACCACCTAAAGAGTATTCCCATGTATTGTGAAATTGCCTCTGGGGGCTATCCAGTCTATTGTCTGTGTAAGCTTAAAGGAGATGTCCCTATATGAGTCGAGACCAACACCCCTAGCTGCATGATCCCCATTCCATTAATGAACCTTCCCTCCTGTCTCTTCCTCACACCTCAACTCTCTACTAAGTCTAACATAATTAGTAAAGGTAATGTTAACGTTGTAAGGCATCCGGAGAATAAGAATATATGTACTATAAGGGCAGAGGTTAGTTACAGGCTGGTGTTGGCGCCACGATGTTACCATATAATAAGTTCCCAGAGTAGAATGAAGACAATACTCAATAGATTAACGATAATTATTGTTGTCGGTAATTAAGAGAGATAAACATGATTAAACTGTAAATGCTTACTTCCTCCTCTTCCTCTTCATCCTCTTCTTCGCCTGCGTCCTCGCCAGTTTCCTCGACGCTCTCACTCTCGTACACACCAGCTTCATGATCTTCCTTGATAGCAGTTTCCGTAGAGTTTGTAACAGGTTCCTCAGCGTCACCGTTGAGGTGTGGGGAGTCAGGCACCTGAGGCGCTGATACGGGAGACTCAGTGGTCACCTTCCCCGCCGGAGATTCTGACGTGGGCGTAGTAGGAGGCGGACTCTTCGGGGTTTTGGGTGTCTGTGGCGCCGGCGACGTAGGGGCGGATGGGGTGCCTGTCGACTGCGGCGTTTTAGGCGACTTGTGTTGATCTTCTCGGGCGTGTGAGGGAGACTTGGGCGAGCTCAGCCGAGGCAACTTGGGCGGCGGACTGTCAGAACTATCCTTGACTATAGCAATACCGACTTTGCCATCGCGGAGTGGTTCTGCTTTACGTTTGCCGGGCAGGGGCGGCGAGACGGCAGGACTGGTAGGGGAGGAGGGGGTGGTGCTCGTGGTGGTTGTGGTAGTAGTGGTGGCTGTGGTTGTGGTGGTGGATGATGACGATGACGATGATGGTGAGGAGGAGGAGGTGGTGGTGGTAGTAGTTGTGGTGGTAGTGGTGGAGGCGGTGTCAACATCGGTGGTGTCGTCATAGTCCTCCTCCTCCTCGGTGCCTGTGTCGAGCTCCACCCGGCTGCTGCTGCTGCTACTGGTGCTACGCTCAGCCTCCCGCTCTGCCCCTTGAGCGGCCAAGGTGCTGCTCCTGCTCTCCTGCAATACAAGAACAACGCATATCAGTAAATGTAAGCTATCCCTCGTATTCTTCCTTAACGTTAACTAATTAAAGACAAACTATCCTCAATCTGCCTTCAGTGTTCTCCTGCAACACATCAGGTAAAAAACAAAACAATACTGTTCTTAGTGTTCTCTGGCAACTGTAATACAACGTCAGGAGTCACAAACTGATGAGTCTATCATACACAAAATTCACTCCACAAGAACGGCATCAGTTATCCCCTCAAATATGCAAATCCTTCCTATATTGGTAAAAAAAATATATGCAAAAACTATATCTGCATTTCAAAAATACATGAGGTAAATACGAATAATAGAAAAATTGACCTGCACACAAAAACCAGAATGTAAACATACATACAAAACAGACACATGCAAAAACACACGACTCAAACACAAAACAGGTGCAAGCACAGACAATAACACAAGCACGAGCACTAACAAAAACAGACACGTGCACACTACACACACAAAAAATGCACTGTTAACTCATAAGTCAAAATATATTTAACAAAATCTTTCTTCATATTCAGAGGCACGACAAGTAATCTCTCCCGCATGGTTACCAATCCCCCCGCATGTTCGTACCTATCTCTGATCTCCCGCAAGCAATGATGAGTCTCCCGCATGCTGCTGTGACCACAGTAAATAGTGAGGTGAGGTATACACCGGGTGGCGGCGCTCTGATCACCCACTGGCTGAAGCACGTCACGTGGACAAACAAAAGGATAACGTCAACACCTGGTGCCATCAATCAATAGAATACTTTCCCAGTGTGGAGGTCCTCAGACTAACAATAAATCCAAAGAAAAAATTTACAATATACAAAAAAAAAAAACCTAACTTGGCATAAATTGGAATGAAAAACATTAAATATAACCAAATTAATGAAATATGCTCATTCAAACCCTCTTGCCGTATAATAAAGGTGAATATTATTCTTATCATCGCCGATTATTTATTTGGCCTCAACATAGCTCAAAGTAGCCCGCGTTCACAATCCGTGTTCACTTGGCTTCTCATGCACTCCGAGTAATGTTATCCCACAAATCTTCAGAGATCATGAAGGGTGTGTTATCTTGCTTTCTAGACACTGCTTGTAACACTGGGTAATAATCACGGACGAGTCGGAATGTTTCGTCTTCAATGTTCACTTCATCGTGGGAGCGACAATTTTGGCGGGAGAAAACCTATAATTCAGAGCAGGGCGCGGGAAACTGGCGAGCCAATAAAATTGTGTAGCTGTTGGCTATTTTATGGTGTAAAGTGATTATAATGAGTGTACTAAATATATGTCTTGATCTTTCAGTGTACGAGATGAGATACAGAAGCTGAGTAGTGTATGATTAGTATTATACAGTTCTGAGCCTACACGAGTTAGCACCACTTGATTATACAATATATTGATAAAGTATATATATATATATATATATATATATATATATATATATATATATATATATATATATATATATATATATATATATATATGCCAACGACAGATATCTAATAGAAGGAAGAGAGGTGGGGGGTGGGGGAACGAGAGCCAAATCAAAGCCTTGTCATTATTCCCGGCGCTCGTAAATGTGCCTTTATGCATCACACAACAACATTAAACCCAAAATTCCCACCTTATACTTATCTCCACCATAAAATATCATCCATTGCTTAAATCACAATCACAAAATTATTTAAAAGGGCATAATACTCCTGATCCCTAACATCTACATGACAAACTGTAAAATACCCAGAGATTTGAAATATAAATTCTTGTCCTTGTCGGTTCAATCACACAGATTCGCAAAAAGGCGTAATCCTCATCATCTCCCAAAATCCACAATAGCAAACTGTAAAATAACCAGGAATTTGAAATATAAATTCTCGTGTGATGTCGGTGCCAAAAGCATGGGCAAATTATCCGAGGGAAAAGGCGGGAAAATGGTGCGTGTTGCGCGGGTGGCGGGCGTACGAAGCTTTGTGGGAGGGCGCGAGGCAGAGCGACACACGCGGCCAGGTTGAGTAAAGACTAGCTAGCGACAGCTGCACATCAGACCGGTCGAGACCTCAATCCCAATCCTTAATCCACCTTTTACTATCCCACTAATGATACAGCAACTTATTCACACGTCAACTTTGAATAATTTTAGAAATTCTGGTCAGATTTCGAGGTCGATTATCGTAAAATTATCGAGGAAATGCGTGTGGTCGAGCTCATGCGGGGAACAGTCGGGACTCGAAGCCAAGTGGGCGGAGATACGAACACTGAGCCAGCTGCCAGGCGAATGGGGCCGTACTGGTGTGATCACGAGGTAGCCTATCATTCCCGTATTTCTTTGTCCCACTCCCTCACCCACACTTGTGTTTCTCCACGCTTGCTATGACACACCAAATGGCCGAATAAACAAAGCGTTACAAGCAAGCAAGAACAGGGCGATGACGACGGACGGAACGAACCATAACGAAAAGAGGCGAAGGACAGCGATGAAAGCAGGACACGCACGCACGCACATACGGCTATGTACACACGCACATACACACCGCTTACCTTGGCGGGATGTCCTTCCATCTCTCCCCAGACTAACTCCCGTGCCCGCTCGCCCGCCTGCCTGCCTGCTTGCTTGCTTGCCTGCCCCCTACTTCTTGCGGTTCGCTCGCCTGCCTGTCTCTGCCTCCTCCTCCCCCTCGCCCCCACCCCCCCATTGCTTGTGCCTGCCCCCGTGCTTGTTTTCCCGGATATTCCCCCCCTGTCTCTACCCGCGGAGGGAGAGAAACTAACACCAACCTTATACACAATACCATAAACCCCCAGTAATTTCACGACCTAACACGATAACACAACAAAGAAACAATAACAATAAACCTGGAGAGAGAACCAAGTTAATCTGTGGTGTTGAAAACTGCATACGTAGGTACATTATCAAGAAAGGTAGAAGGGAGTAAGGGAGCTGTGACCACTTACACGGACACCCACTGGAAAATTGAACAAAATGGGAAAAAAAGTCGTATTAAAACCCTTGCTGTTTAAACGGATGGGTAAATAAGTGGTGGCAGTAACAGTAGCGGTAATAGTGGTGGTGTAAGCAAGGATAATAGTACAGCAGACGTAGTAGTAGCAGTAGTAGTAGTAGTAGTAGTAGTAATAGCAAAATGGTAATGAAATGGTAGTGAAAATTGCTGGCTATTGGGAGACTGGAAGTACGTTAAAAAATAAGTAGTAATAGTAGAGGCTATTTATCGTCAAGCAACTTGCTCACCAGCAATTGCCAAATAACAGACACCAACAGTACCGTAACAGACACACCAACAGTACCAAACAACAAACACCAGCAGTACCAAACAAGACACCAACAGTGAACGCTTAGCAGTACCAACAGTACCCAAACAACAGACACACCAACAGTGCCAAACAACTTAGACACACCAACAGTACCAGAAACAACAGCAGTACCCTTAAGTACCAAACAACAGACACCAACAGTACCAAACAACAGACACACCAACAGTACCAAACAACAGACACCTCAACAGTACCAAACAACAGACACACCAACAGTACCAAACAACAAAAAAAGACACACCAACAGTACCAAACAACAGACACACTATAGCAATGCCATACAACAGACACACCATGATACCAAACAACAGACACTGTGTTTCATACAACAGACACTGTGATGCCATACAACAGACACACCAACAGTACCAAACAACAGACACACCAACAGTACCAAACAACAGACACACCAACAGTACCAAACAACAGACACACCAACAGTACCATACAACAGACACACACCAACAAGTACATGCAACAGACACACCAACAGTACCAAACAACAGACACACCAACAGTACCAAATAACAGACACACCAACAGTGCCATACAACTTGAACTGCACCAACAGTACCATACAACAGACACACCAGCAAATGCAAACAACAAGACCTTTAACAGTACCAAACAACAGACACCAACAGTACCATACAACAGACACACCAACAGTGCAAACAACAGACACACCAACAGTGCCAGAGCAACAGACACACCAACAGTGCCAAACAACCACAGACACACCAGTACCACCATACAACAGACGCACCAGCAGTACCAAACAACAGACACACCAACAGTACCATACAACAGACACACCAACAGTACCAAACAACAGACACCAACAGTACCAAACGAACCCACACCAACAGTACCAAACAACAAAGACACACCAACAGTACCAAACAACAGACGCAACAGTACCAAACCAACAGACACACCAACAGTACCAAACAACAGACACACCAACAATTGCTGGAAACAACAGACACCAACAGTACCAAACAGACCACACCAACAGTACCAAAGCAACAGACACACCAACGATGCCATACAGCAGACACACCAACAGTACCAAACAACAGACACACCAACAGTACCAAACAACAGAACACACCAACAGTACCAAACAACAGACACACCAACAGTACCATACAACAGACACACCAACAGTACCAAACAACAGACACACCAGCAGTACCAAACAACAGACACACCAACAGTACCATGCAACAGACACACCAACAGTACCAAACAACAGACACACCAACAGTACCAAACAACAGACACACCAACATTGCCAGGCAACAGACACACCAACAGTAAAACAACACACCAACAGTACCAAACAACAAACACCAACAGTACCAAACAACAGACACACCAGCAGTACCAAACAACAGAACCTTGCACCAACAGTACCAAACAACAGACACACCAACAGTACCAAACAACAGACACACCAACAGTACCAAACAACAGACGCACCAACAGTACCAGAGCAACAGACGCAACAGTACCCAAACAACAGACGCACCAACAGTACCAAACGACGCAGACGCACCAACAGTACCAAACAACAAGAACACACTGACGATGCCAGGCAACAGACATACCAACAGTATTACCAAACAACAGACGC